ATCCATCATAACTCTGCCAAAAATTCATTAATTTCCATTCGGAAAGCTTTTCTTTGCTAGTTTTTATTAGGTTAATAACACTGTATACTCAATTTAAAATTTAAAAAAATTAAAATTTTTATTTTTCACCAGACATGGCTAGATTGACTCGGTTTTTAATGCTGATCAAGAATATATATGATTTATAGGGTCGCAAATGGCTCCTTCACTTATTTTTTTCGTCTTATTGGTTTGATAAATCGTAAAAAATATATTAATTTATATTTAATTTATATTTATTTTTTTACTAAATAAGACATCAAACTTTCCCTCAAAAACTAGGATTTCCTCTGATTTCTTTATTTAAATTACAGCTTAAAACTATTTTTTTTAGAAAACTAAAAACCTCCTTGTGTTCTTGACTTTTAAGCCATTAAATAAACTGCAAAGAAAAGCCATTAAATAATTAAATTGCTATTTTACCGCTGGCAGGACATTTTAAGACAAGCCACAAGGATCGAAATTATTTGATTGTTCGCATTAAATTGCCGACTGAGGCCGACAATATGTAAATTATGCTCTTGCCTGGCCCCAAACACGAACGCTTTAAATTCCAGGATGAAATTTCTTAAATTTCCGCCTCCCTGCCCCGGAGCCTGGTTAAAGCCATCAATTTATTATATAGACTACGTTTAAGCTGGCCAATTTAATAGTTGGCCAGAGGCAAAACCCCCTGTTTTTGATATGTTTTCTCCTTTTTTTGTTGTGTTTTCTACCAGGCACACTGGCTTGTGTTGCATGAATTCCTAGAAAGCGGCTATTTATTATTGATATCGTTACTCCTTTAAGCGCACACTTTATGGTATTTCGTAGTGTTATCCGAGAGAACCTGGCCGGCAAGGATATCCAGATCCTTGCAAATTCAATTGCATATTGCCGGGGCGCTCAACGCTCAGCAGCTTAGCAGCAAACGATGAGGGATGAGATTCTGGCCGGGACTGTAACTCCTCTGCAGCCTTGCCTTGCCTTCACTGACATGCAAAGCGCCAGAAAAATTGTCTGGCAAAAAGTTGCCAGTCAGAAGCGGGAATCGCAGATAGACAGGCCAAGTCAGAGCCAAAAGCCAGCTGAAGATGCTGCTTGTATTTTTCTCCCCCCGAACTCCTCAAGATTTTTAACCGTCCTCACACACACTTGCCGTAAACTTGTCGAAAATATATACGAAAATTGTTTAACAAGTTGAAGGCTGCTGGAAAACTTTTTCACCTGCTCAGCTCCGGCTCAGACTCAGACTCAGGCTCAGACTCGGGCTCAGGCTCTGTGGAGTTTGGGGAAAAAATACATCCAAAAGACGGACGAAAGTTTGCAATGATCCATAAGTTTTTCGCTCTGCTTACAGCTGGGTAACATCTCCTTGGCCAACTTTGGCCGTAGCTTCAGTTTTGGCTTTTAATTAAATAATTTCGGACAGCTGGCTGCATTTATAGTGCGACTCCACAGTCACATTCCCTTCACTCTCAGCTCATCTCACCTGCCTGCCTGCAGATGTGCAATTATTTCGGCTTGCAAAATATTTAACTGCATTTCCTATTGATTTTTGTGCTTTGTAATCAAGTTGCCTGCGAGGCAAGCAGGAAATTGCCGATCTCCTGCAATTGTTGCAGCCGTAGCCTAAGCTATGCTCTCCTCCGGGCCAGGAAATCTTCCCCTAGACCCGGTCGTCCTTCGGCACAAACACATGCCACTGACTGCTGTCTGTCAATAGAACAGGAGAGCCAGAGCTGGTATCCTGGTCGAGGGGTGGTGGGGGGTGGTGGGAAAGTTGGTCGGTCCATCGTTTATAGCAATTTCATTTGACTTCTCGCCTGTGTTTGCCGACCGTCAATAAATGAGCGTAATATTTGGACTTTGATTCCTGCGGCTAAACTGACGACGGTGAGACAGTTGCAACTTGCAGGTTGCCCCTGGCAGGTTGAGAGTTTAACAATTCCTCAATTCCTCCTCTCGTTGAAAGTTTATTTTTCTCGGAGAGGGAAAAGTTACCTCAACACTTTCTCGGAGATGAATTAAAAAGCTGGGGAAAATAATTAAGAATTTATGTTGAAGTTTTACAAATAAATTTAAGGTTTAAGACTTTAAATTCAAAGTTTAAAGTTAGATTGAAAACTAACTAAACTTAAAGTAGATTTACAATAAAGTTTACTATTTAAAATTTAAAGGTTTTTCCCATAAATACAACTAAATCTTTAAAATACACTTTAAAACAATTCTCTTAAAACTTAAATCCCTCTCCAAAAACCCCTTTAAACCTGTGGAATATGTAAATTATAAGCCAGTTTGCAGTATGGATTGCAATTTTAATGAATGGCTAATAGCTGGACAGGGATTTTCTAGCCACATGTGCTAAGGCCAGAGGATAAGGCTTATAATCCCCCCGAAAGCCCAGCTCTGAGCATGTTGGAATCAATGTTTTTGCGGTAGTTTCAGATGAAAAATGGCACTTTCCTGATGCTTAGCCTAAGTGACAGGCCAAGTGCCAAGAGAGAGAGAGAGAGAGGGAGAGCGGAGCCACTTGGCCGAACTTACTTAACTTAACACATGGCGACACACACACACGCACATAAGGTGCTGCTATGTCCTGTGACAACTGAAAGTATGCAGCACTTTTGTGCGAAAACGTGGTCACCAAGACACCATAGCTGCGCTGCACTGCAGAAAAGCCAAGGAAAGGCGTACGAGTGGGTGTGTGGGGTTAATTCGCAGCCCACAACTATGGGAAAACAACAACTGTGTGCGGCAATTGTAGCGCCAGCTTTTCCATTGTATTATGACAGCAGCGGCACCTGCAAGGATGCAGTGATTGTGATTCTTTGTTGGTTTTCCCTTTCTTTTTTCCCCACTTTTTTTTGTAGCCAGTTCACTCGCTTGCGAAACCCCTCGGAAAACAGTAAACAAAAAGCAGGACAATAGTCAAGGGGCCGCCTGGCTGGGTGGGTGGGTGTTAGGTGGAAATGCCCGGGCATGGCATGTGTTCATTGTCCAAGAGCAGTTCATGCTTGGCTACGCATCTGTATGCGCCGGAGTAGGAGGAGGAGGCGAGGTCGGGCCCAGTTGGCATATCAACTGGTCGGACATGGTGTAAACACGTTTAATGTTGTTGCCATTGCCGTTGCATGGCTGCAGTTGCTCCTCCTGCATGGCGCATGGCAGTACGAGTCCCAGCCCTAGCCTAGGGTTCTGGCTCCAGCTCCGGCTCCGGTTGTGTCTCGTCGTCCTCTGGCGCCGTCGCCTTTGCCACGTTTAATTTAATCTACTGGCCAAAGCTGCAGACGCTACCTTGACATGGACGGCACTTCAATCTGCATATGAGGAGTACAGTAGGGATTGCCTAAGGAAAACCATTTCCTAAACTTGTTTTGTAAAGGATTTTGGACTCAAAATATCCATTATTGTCACTCCTATTATAGAACTTTAAGACGGGAATAATCATAAACAAATTTTATATAATTTATGTTTGGAATTTCTTATGTAGGTATATAACATTTATAGGGAGTCCCACTGTAGCTGTGGCTGTGCTAGCTGCTCGAGTGCACCGCAAGTCCATTTAACTTAGCTTTTGGCAGTGGCAGTCCTGGACCTGCTAGCTGGTTGCAGGTTGCTAGTTGCCGGTGGCTCCTTGGTCGCAGCATCACTCAAACGCCGGGGAAGCCCCGAAATGCCGAAATGCTGAAACCCCCAAACGAGGCGACAGGAATGCGTGTGAGTGTGTGAGTAGGTGAGGGTGAGGGAGTAAGGGCGCGTGTGGGCAACGTAATTTGCATGGTCAGCTTGCAGTTTTGGGACACACAGAGTGGCAAGTTGTGTGCCTCGTCCCTGGCTTAATTGCATGCAGGAATAGCAACAGCTACGGCATCAGGAGGAGCATCATCAGCAACATCGTCATTGGCAACTTCATCCAATTGCTGTTGCCCAGTTTTTGGAGTCCCTTACCCGATGCATGCAATTTCCTGGCGTAAGCGAGATGCCCCTTTAAAGTTCCTAAAGTCCTTACAATGATACAGAAAAAGCAAAAAACTGGGGCAGGATCTGACAGCGAGTCGAGGTGCAGGTGGGATGCCAGGTGATTATGCGGCACATGGTCCGACGACGACGACCTCGTCGTTATTCGGAACATTACAAAAAGTGATAATATACAAGTGGCGTGACAGGCAAAAAATTAAAGGGTAACCCCCTCGATTTCTCGTTTTTTCTTCCGCCCACTAGACAGACATCACAGTTGGAGTCAAAATCAGACAATGTACAAAATGTACGTTGCATATGGCTGGAAAAAAGGCACCGCCAAAGTTTACAAATGGCACACGGCCCCTCAGCTGCATAAACGATGGGGTTTTCCTGATTCTCTACTCGCCGGTTTTTTCAGCGGGCATGCGAATCATTTGCAAGCGATTTAATTTCAATTGCATGGGCGTTAATCAAAGGCTACAAAAGCCAGAAGCTGTCGAAAATATATCCAGTCATTCGGTGAAACAACAGGGAAAAAAGCTGCCATTATATAGTAATATCAGCCGAAAAAAAGGCGACGTTTATATGTATATATTTCAAGTCTGATAAATGCGATGTTGGAGATTTTCAATTGTATTTTTAGCTGGAAGTCCACAAAGTTGAAGTATTTATTTATATTTTTAGAAGTTTACTTTACTTTAAAATTTTGTCTAATAGAATATCACTTAATACATATGTATATTTTGTCAGTTATAAAATGTATTCCTTACAAAGTACAATTTATTCCTTATTAATTATTCAGTTATTTTGGGGAATTTTTTAAATTAAATAAATTAAAGCAATGCAGAAAATATTTAGATATTTTAACTTTATCTTTATCATTTTTTGAAATCGATTAATAACAGTTAAATTACGCGCGCATCAAGTCAAAAAAATCAAGCAGTTATCAAAGCAGTCGATAAAAAGGCTTTAAATCATCGATGTTTCCATCAATGTTTTCTGCATTTGTACTGTCTGGTCACACTGAGCGAGCAAAACAACAAAATAGCGTTTTCCTAAGACTTTGTGGCGCGAATTTGTTAATAACAAATGAACGGGGCACGAAAACTAAAGTCGCTGCGAGCCGTGAGACTGGCCGATGTGTTGTGCGACGAGCAAAAACGCATACTAATGCTTTGTCGCAGCTGCGAGCGTCATTTTATGACCTTTGAGGCGTTCCAAAAGCACTTGGCCGACTGCTCCGGACTAAGGCACATAGTGGCTCCTACGGATCTGCTTAGCTACGACGATTCCAAGCGGGAGACGAAGCACGTGAATGGCAGGCAGGAGGTAAGGATTAGTTGCGTCTAACACGAATCCACTAACTTGGCTCTCATTTTCAACCCCAGCTCCACATCTACGACATCGACGCGGTGCGGAGCTCCAGCACCTTCGACTTGGAGGCGGAGTTAGAGGATCCGCGCTGGTACACCGATCCCAAACCCAGTCTCAGTCCACCAAAGGCCAAATCCGACCTGGCCAAGGAGAATGTGGTGGAGATCGAGCTGCAGCTGCCGAAGGATGAACCTGATGAGGAAGAGCTGCCAGCGAAGCGTCCCCGCACTCTTAACACTCTGCGCCGGCCAATCCTCACTGCCCAGCAACAGCGAAAGACGCGTAGCACCGGCGGCCAGCCAGTGACTCAGACTCCAACGGTGAAAACGAAAACGAAGGAACCCATTCTGGCGCCCGCTGTAATGGAGCAGCTCAAGCGCATGACGGAGGCCCCCCCGAAAAGGAGTCCAACTGCAGCATCAGGAGCGGAGCGAACATCTCGACTACCTTCTAAGCAGACGCCACCATCACCGCCAAAGACAACTCCAGTGACTCCCCCCAAGACATCTCAATCACAGCTTCCCATGGTGAGCATACCGATGGATGGCACCCAGAAAATCCTCAACAAGCTGAGAGCCTGCGGCGTGGAGGTGAAAAGGGGAAATACCCTTCTGAATGTCACTCCGCCGGCCGCGGAGAGTTCAACCAAAAACCAGGAGGCCCTGGACATAATGCGCAAGCTGCAGTCTAAGGGCATCCGATGCACCAAACTAACCAAACAGTAGTTCGTAGCGTTCGTTGGCTGATAGTTGTAAGATAGGAATTAAACGATAAAGCCCATAAGTATTTAAATTTAATTATCATTTCCACTTTGCCTAAAATAATCTAACCAAAAATGTGAGAAATTCTACAGTTTAAAGTTAGGTTAATATATTGGCATATAAACAAACGAAATGTACTTTGTTTTCTTGGAAAAGTTTATATTAAACTTGCATTATAATAACATTTTTAAATTGTTTTTGTTTTTTCTTTTAGTGGGACCTTTTCAAATTATCGATAAAACGACTGTGATAACAAGTTGGCTATTTTTTACGCTGGTTTTGTTTTATTATAGAAAATAAGATAAAATGCGAAATACATAATAATTATTATTAAAGTATAACATCAAAATGTATATGTACGTTTGAATATACTTGTAAAAATTGCTTTCTTAATGTTATAAATTTATTATTATTATTAATTACTCACTCTTTTATAGCCAAATCTAGCTACTTTTTAGCTGTTAATCGCCAGCACTGGCAGGTAGAAGAAGCAGCTTGTTGATTTTTTGTTGCCGCACGCGTTCGAAAAGGAAATCGGGTAATATTTTCCGTGCCGCCCGCGTAGTGTATATATTTTGTAGTTGCTCGTAACACTAGTGAAAACCAAATCCCAAATTCGCGAGTGCAACCACCCAGCCAGCTGTGGCGGTACGAGTTTAGAGGTAAGTCAGCTGGTGGCCTTTGCAAGCGGGGCCTTACATAATTTTGGGGGGGCCGGAATTTTGTGTTTCGCTCAAAATGCAGGCAAAATGACATCATTTGGTAGTTTTTAGCATATGTCGTTGATATATGGATGTTTATATAGCAATCCTGTCACTATTTTAACTGCAAGGGCATTACGAAAAGAGGTCTTTACCAGATGAAATTCCTAGACTTCCAAAGTGCCCCAAAAGCACCTCGAAATATTCAATATTATTGTATAAATTAGCATATTTTTATTAAAAATTCCAACCCCCTCAAGTAATAACACACACTTTTCATTTAGAATTAGAATGCAAGTTTTTATTACTTCATGTTTCAAATACTTTTACTTCCTTCCCTTCTTCTTGAGGGCACCGAGCAGGTCTCTAGACCTTTTCGCATTCCATTCACTACATGTTTACTTTGAGAGTTTCACACTTAGTTATCTAATTGAATTCGTTACATGGGCTTTATTCAGAGTTCCGGCGTATTTTTAGGCTAAACTATTTAGTGCATGTGCCCAATGGGATTTAAATTAGTGAGTCTGCTTGGTTTTTCAATAGTTTAAACATTAACTTAAAGCTGCTTATTGTGGTTTTCAATCCATTTTCTTTTTGCTCTCTCAAATCACAAAACATTCACATTACATTTAGTTAAAGTATTCAACAGTGAGAAACAAGTACGGAGACATATTAGATTAGAATGTAATCAACATTTATAAGAAAATATATGTGTTTATCGCGTGTAGACTTATTGAGAGTTGGTGCACATTTAAATGCGGCATTTAACGTTTTACAATTGTTATTCACTATTCATTTAATATAAACAAATCTGATGATATGGGGCTGCTGGCGAATGGCACCTCCTCTGCCCCTGGCGGCTCCTCACTATTCCAGAGAGCGCCGGCGCAGCGTCTTGCGCACTCCCCCCAGCGCAGCACTGCTGCGATCGAGGAGCTCGTTGGATAGCCGTGCCAACAGGGGCAGCTCCCGCATGGAGACATTCACCGAGGGCAAGGGTGCCAGCTGCTGCTGCAGCTTCTTGATGGGCGTGGGCGGTGCTAAGTGATGCATCTGCTGCTGCTGGTGGTGGGGTGTGACTGGCAAGCTGGCGGTGGCCACGGTGACCTTCACCTGGACCTCGTCGCTGTGACGTTTCAGGGCCTCGGCGCCCAGGGAATCGGGTCGCTGCTCGGTGGCCTTCAAGCGGTTGCTTTGCTGCCTCTTGGCCGCCTCCTTACGCATCATCAAGTTATCCAGTTTATCCACAGTGGCCTTCAGTTCGTGCTCCCACACATCATTCTGCTGCTGGCCATCTCCGCCCTCGATGGGACGCACGGCCAGTATCTTGACCTTCTGTCGCAGCGCCTCCAAATCCCGCTCGTCCACCACACCTCGCAGTTCTCCCGCCCCCGTCTCGTCGTAGTCGCAGGCATCCTCCTCATCCTCTGTTTCCGCAGCTGTTTGTGGCGTCTTAGCACCCAAGGACATCTGGCTGCCGGCAATAGAGGGATAGTCACACTTCTCCAGCTCCATCTGGAAGTCCGGCAGCGAGGGTAAAGCACTGGAAGTCGGGGAATTTAACTCGGCGCCGACACCTGGCTCGCGGGGTCCCGTCGGAGTGGGAAAATCCCCCCTCTGTCTGTGTATATCCTCGCTGATCCGCTCCAGATTACGCAGCGCTGTTGAGTAGGTGCTCTTGGCACCGGCCACCTGCTGTTGCAGCTCCTGTATGCGATTCTTCTGCGTCTGCAGCTGATCCTGGCAGACCTGCTTCTCTTCGAAATATGGACGTGACTTGTTGATGCTACGCCGATAGCGATCCTCCAGCTGCTGCACCTTCTGCTCGGCGGTGTGAAAGAGCCGGGTGCGCCGCTGGTGCTCCGCATGGCAGTCGGCCTTTTGTGTTTCGGCATCCATCACCTTTTGGGTGGCATGGTTGAGCATCTCCTGCCAGGCATTGTCGAATTGCCATTCGTGCGAGTTGGACATGAAACGTTGTTCGGCCAGCGCCACCGTTTCCTTGGCTGCAGCATGGATTTCTGAGGGTGGAGGGGGATAAGAGTTAAATGTGGTTTATGGTGGGTACTCTCTATACTCACCATTTGCTCGCTGGAACTTGACTGCCGCCTGCTGGCATTCGATTTGTGCTTCGCGTGCCTTGTCCAAGGACTCGTAGTAGGGGCGAGCCTTCTCTATGCAGCTGCCTAACTTTTTCGAGGAAAGCTTCAGGCGACGCGTAGATTCATTCAGCAGAATGCGAAATGTGGAATTAGCCTCCTTGGAAAGTAGAAAATATTTAGTATAAAGTTTAAGGTAAATGTTAAATTAAGTTTACCTCCAGTTCGATTTCAAGCTTATTAATCTCATCGGTTGCACTATTGAGATTCTCCAGTTCAATCTGCAAAAGATTAAAGTGAAAACGATAAGTTTACTTTAAAAAGATATAATGCTAATTCTGTTCCCCTTCCTTGCAGTATTTCCCTACGACACCTGCCCACCGAAACCTCCAAGATGTCCAAGGACTCAAAATATGATCTGAGCAAGATATACGCTCGCGTGGATCGTGTCAATGTAAGCGGCCTGCTGCGCACCCACAGCGACTATGTGATGAGGGCAGCCGATGCCCTTTTCAAGGCCAATAACTTCCAGGATCTAATGTTGGAGGCCATGTCCGCCAAGTCCTACCTACACGAGCTGGGCATCTTCAAGGATGTGAGCGTGCACATTGACATAAGCCGGGGATCAGATGCCTCACCGCAGGGCTACGAGGTGACCTTCAAGGGCAACGAGTACTCGCGCATGATGGGTTCGGCGGGCACAGAGATTGGCCAGAACGAGGGATCTCTACGAACAGAGCTGACCATCCCGAATATCTTTGGGCGTGGGGAGAGCATCTCACTGCAGGGCAGCTATAGCAGCACAAGGGCCAATGATTTGCAGCTAAAGTTCTGGAAACCCTTTTTCCACACGCGTTTCATGGAAAACCGACCCGAGTAAGGAGGTGAAATATTCTTAGAAATTCTACTATAATTTATGGTTATTTCTTTTCTTTTAGAGTATCCTTCAGCCTGTTTAGACAAACTGATAGATTCGACATCAGCTCATTTCAATCCACAAATCTAGGCTATTTGGTGGACTTTTCGGCACACACTATGCTGGGCGTGGATGTAAGTATAAAAACCTACATTTAACTTTATAAAACTCTTGAATTAATGTAATATTCCTCTCAATTCCAGTTGACCCACTCCCTGCAGTACGAGAACTCCATCAGGGAAGTGGGACTCCTCAACAAATCGGTGCCCTTCGGCATTCGCGATCACTGCGGACCCAAGCTGGCCTCGCTGCTGCGCTACTCCGTGATCTACGACAATCGGGATGGCAATGTATTCCCCACCCGCGGAGTTCTGCTCAAGTCGGTCAACGAGTATTGCGGATTGGGTGGCAATATCGCCTACACCAGCAGCACGGCCCACGGAGAGGTGAATGTGTCGCTGTTTGCCGGCCTGGTGGCACAGTTTTGCGGTCGTGTTGGTGTCCTCAAGGAGACCAAACAGACAACACAGCTGCCCCTGAGTTCGTTGTTCTACTGCGGCGGCCCCTTGACTCTGCGAGGATTTAAGTTTGGAGGAGCTGGACCCGTGATTGATGGTACGCCCATTGGGGCACAGACTTTCTGGGCGACGGGCGCACATCTATGGGCGCCTTTACCCTTTGCCGGAGTCTTCAAGAACCTGGCCAGTCACTTTAGGATGCATTTCTTCTACAACCTGGGCAACAGTAATAGCTTTACCACAGGTTTGTTTAAGCTACCAATTATCATCTATTTTACTTTACTTATTTTTAATTATATTTTATTTCGCAGAAAATATGCGCAGTTCCTTTGGCATGGGTCTGGCTGTCAAGTTGGCGGAACGAGCACGCATTGAACTCAACTATTGCATCCCTGTGAAACGCCAGGCCACGGATAAGATCACCAACGGTTTCCAGTTTGGCATTGGCTACGAGTTTGTGTAGAGATCAGCTCCAATGACTGGATTAAATCCTAGCAAAAGCCATGAGAGTCACAACCCAACAGCAACAAACTAATTCTAATCTACAACAAATGGCTGCCCTGTCCCAACTATCACGAGTGCTTAGAGATTCTGTTCCGTATTCTATGTTCAATGCATTTCTATTATTTTTCTCTGCAAATTTATTCGTAGTCCCAGCGATCATTTAAGTAGTTCCTAAGGCGTGTACATACGTAAAACGAAATGTTAAACAAATAAAATAAAAAAAAAAAACAAAAATGTAAAACGAAATGAAAGTATATTTTAATTTATTGAGAGGGAAAACTTCGATGTTTCGAAATCTTAAATATCGAAAATATCGATATTCTCAATACATCTATATATTTCGTTTTCAGATTATTTCAATTTAAGCAGAATATCGATTTATTTCAAATACATAATGAGCAACTTTAATATATAGATTTATGCATTGGGTTTTCCAGAGGAGAAGCTAATTATACTTGTATCAAAATAATATATTCAAGGTTAACATTTTAATAAAAACAAAACATTTACAGGCACTTTAAAAAGTAATTAAGGAATCGATAAATAACAATTTTTAAGCGAGTAAAATTTATATAGTCATCCTGTACTTAAAAACTGAAGCTCTAAGCAATATATTATTTCAATTCCACTTATTTATCTTTCACTTTAATCAACAACTTAAAGCCTGAATACTTGAAACCCCCTCTCAAAAAGTACAACTGATTTTTGTTGTTAAAATATTTAACAATTTAGCAAAAGGTCTCTCCAAGTGTCAGGTTTGTTGATTTTACCCATTAACATGTGCATTTTTACAGGGGACAACCGCCGGTGGACTTGTGTTCATGGATCGCTGAACTGCAGTTTTTCGTTTTGGGCTTTTTTTTTGTTTTGTTTTGGAATTTTCAGTTCGGGACCCACGGCATTTTGTGGTCGAAAAAAAAACAGGTTTTAATTATAATTTTTTCGTTTTGTTTTGTTATGTCTGCCCCTTTTTTATGGCGGCTTTTATTAAGGCCTGTCCCAGTTTGATTTTTATCGTGTCCGCTCTGAACATTTCTCCACATCCCGGACATACATACAAGATACAACATAAACCGAAGAAGTGGGAGCTTTTTGGTAAGGGCACGCTCGAGTTGCCTCTGTAATCGAGATTGATTTAAGAGCCCAGACAAAGCCAAGTGCGAGCGAAGCCTCCTACAAAAACTGGTTTTCTGTGTAAACAAACCAAACCAGTTTGAGAGCATCCGCTGCAGATGAACACATTTCAACACTTGAACTTTCCTGGAATTTTTCGCCAGGCAAAGGAACGAGGCTTCAACTTGTTTCGATCGTTTGCAACTAACAAACTTTTTGGCTAACAAAAAGTTAGCCCTTCTCTTTTAAAACCCTTTTCAGTCAATTGATTGGAATTGGAGGGAAAAAATCACACAAAAGCAATTAAGACTGCTGTGATTAAAGGCCCTAGACCTTAGGACCAAGCTACCTCTTCGATTCCAGCCAATGACGCACAATCAAATGAGTAAATATGCCATAAAAACATTTTATTACAATGCAATTCAATTGTAAATACTGGAAAAAAGGTGAACATGTTTATTAACCGCCGCGAAGGCAGCTGTGTGTGTTTTTTGAAGACAGCAAAAAATATTTGATTATCAGCAAGCAAACAAATGAGCATTTTTTTCGGATAAATTAAATGTTGAAATGACGGCGCAAATTGTATAAATATTTTCGCAACGTAGCTTCGTACCCAAACCCTACAATTAAAATGTATGGAAAAGAATTGCAATTGGGGGAACAAGACTGTGTAAATATTTCCAAAGAACTTAATCTACATTTTCCACAGCCAGTACACGCGGGGAACTCCTCTACAATTATTGATTTTGCACATTAAATTTAAAGCTCACAACAGGGTCAAAACCAAATGGAACGAGGCCCCAAAAACGTTGCCGCCATAACACGCGATGCGGGGACGGTTTGCTTCGCTTTTGTTTTGCATTCGTCAGAGTTTCGCGTTCCGCCAAAGGGCGGCTAAAGCTCAACTTGAGTCACAGACTATGAATAAGCCAATCAAAGGCGAAAGGTTAGAGGCAAGGCGTGTTGTGTAGTCTGTTGGCTATAAACAAAACCTAGAAAAGATGACGTGAGTGTGGCTCGTTAGGATCCCAAACAAATCTACAGACATGGGGACGCCACCCACGCAAAAGGATATTATGATATCAAATCGGGAATGACGACTACTTGGCTAGTGACACGTCAGACTCTGGAGTTAGTTGGCATAGACATGTGGGCAGGAGCTATATTTAACTCTAATTGAGTTATATCAGGGAATGTAAAGGGGTTTCCCTTTTAGGGAGGTCACAAAGAGGAATAAATAATGTAAGATATGGAATACGGAAAGGAAAATCTTACACCTTAAGAATATAAAATGTCTTGGTCTCATTGATAAAAGATGGAAATTCTCTCCTCGAAACATCTAGAAAACTAAATCAAAAGTAACGTTTCAAGTTTCAATTTAAATTCCTAATTTATCCCAACAAAACCCCTGAGTTTCCTGTACTAATGTTCTATGCATTTTATTCCCATCAAAAACAATAAGAGAAGTGTCACAAGTACTAGAGCTACCTCAGGTTATAAGAATTCGCCATTACTTATTCATTTTCCATGACAACCATGGCTTTAACCCCTTGATACATCTTGCATGATTGTTTATTAGCTTACATCCCAGACACATCCAGCTCTTTTAAGGGTGTCCTTCCTCCCCGTTCCGCTCAATGTTTTTCCAATTCCGCAATGACGCCAGCCCAGCCCAGCTGCCTTTTTTTCGCCGGTGTGGCGTGATGCCGACCAACTGGGCCGACCTGACCTACATACATCTGGCGGTGACAGCTTTCTCCCCTCGCTCAGCCGGCGACCGTCAAACAAGAACCACCCTTCAGTTGGCGAAAATGCCAATAGTGTAATGGAAACCTACATGAAATTTACATCGATTTGAGTTGCGCAACAAAAAAAAACCAACGAGAAGAGGAAGCCGCAGGAACTTGTAGGACATTCAACTCGAGCGGAAATGTACGTCATCGGGGCGGAATAATGCGGCAGTCACAAGAAAAAACTGTCGCAAAGGTTGGGGCTTTTGAAGCCAAAAGAAAATAATATATAAAAGTAGTACGCACAAACACAGTATTTTCTCTCCTGAAAGAAAGTCGCCACTGGGAGAGGTCAAAACAACAGATTGTTATATAAAGAGGAAAAAGCTATGCGATGCGTGAACGAATGTCAGGCGACCCGAAAATAAATAAGCCAAGTCCAACGTAGCTTGACGATTGCAATTGACCGCATAAAGTTTTTATATTTTTAATTACCCCCTTCAGAGTTATGTCAACTTGGAAAAGTTGCAATGATGATAAATGAATGGAATGGAGAGCAAGAGCAGAAAGTCACAGAAATCAGGCGAACTACAACTACTCTCTGGAGAAGACTCTCTAGAAGTGTGTGTCCCACTTTATATAAATTATTTTCAATTGCTTTTGCCAAGAAACTTTTTAGCTGTGACCTTTATGTGGTTTATTATATTAACTTAAGTACAAGCGAACTTTTAGCAGCTCTACTAAATTGCTTGGTATATTTGTCGATAAACAAAAGTTCGAAATGCAGCAACAAGTTCATGACTGATAAGATTGCCTCTTTAAAAACGCTATCACTATTGATTTGATAAAGCAGGAAATGACCGCTCACTGAACCGTAGTGCCTTGTTCAAATTGTGTACATTGAATGTCATTAACAATTCAGAGACTACGATGGCGATGAACTAACAAAGCCAAAGCCAAAATTAATTCATTAAATCTGAAAATGCATGGAAAATAATGTGCTGTAACAGCTTCAACGAAAGTAGCAGCCGTGGTTATGCCTCATTGATGATAATAGTGATGATGGTGGCTGCTATGATGATGATTATGATGATGGTGGTGTGGTTGAGAAACCCCTAGGGGGATTGCACCCAACGAAAGGTTACAAAACTGTGTAAATAACTCTCGGATAAAGGGAGGCATCTGCTTTTTTATTTCTCTCAATGATATACCATATTTTGTATTTAATAAACTTCCTACAGTTGTTGGTTTCACTTTCATTGCCATGAATAAAAAATGGGAATATACAGCAAGTGACTTTCGCTGAGTAGCACTTCTGGACGAACGGTTCGGCGTGGGTAGCGTGGCCGAGCGGTCTAAGGCGCTGGTTTAAGGCACCAGTCTCCTCGGAGGCGTGGGTTCGAATCCCACCGCTGCCACAGAAAGAGATTAACTTTTTTTTTAATGCTTTTACTTTATTTTTTATTTATTTGATGATGAAAGGAGCAAACAATGGAGTATTAAGCACTCCCACCTTTAATACGGTTTATTTTACATTTTATTATATGCTTAGGTGGACAAATATCTTGAGATATAACCTTTGAACAGCTTGCCAAACGATAAAAACCTCAGTTCGTATTCGTAATAAAAGATAAAGAATACAATAGCTTCTCGGGGGACACCTGATATACTATATAATATAATATTTGAATCAAAAGTTGACTCACTTTATCGTGCACGATTTTCTGATTCATAGACGACGCCTTCTCCTCCGTTGAAGTTCTCTAATTCTCCCACCTTGCTTACGTAACACAGAGCACCCAATAGGCCAAAAGTCATTAGTCATTTTGTAGAATTTTTATCAACTTCGACGCGCGCAGAAAGTTTCCCCTGCTAATCTAATTATCATTATCAAATGGGGCAAGGCAAACAATTTATTTATAAATTGTTTCACTAATTTTCTATACCAGAGGCTACCCTATAGCTTCTCTGAAAAGGCAATTAACGTATAATCGATAATTGCCGCTTAATTATGCATTCGCTTGGCTTTAGAAAGTTTATTAAGACAAGAGATAAAAGCCCCAAGCACGCAAATAACTATTCTTCAGCCAACTGACGCGTGTTTAAAAACAAGACAACAAATAGAGAAAGAAACAATAAAACATCTGTCGAGACACACGATTTAAATCAAATAGACTTTGGGCCAACAACGCCGCTTTATCAATTTTTTGTCTATGGTTTGTCGTCATCGAAACTCGAAAAATCTCTTAAGATAACAAATTTTGCACGCGCTAAAAAGTGAAGAAAAAACACACTCTGCTCATTGATAAATCATTGGAAATAGAAGGCAAGCAACAACAAAGCCGGCTTGGCTTGTCTGAAGAGGAAGTCGAGCATAAAAAACATTGAGAAAGAAGCCAACAAAAAATAATAACAAAAAAATCTGGCAAAATCGAAACAAAATATTTTGCGTTTTTGGAAATATATTTTTGTTGTTGCTTTCGCGGGAATTCTCATTCTCCAGACCGGTTTTCGGTACAGTTCTCGGTTCAGCGAAGGCATTTTCGTTTATGGAGGGAACTCACATCTAAATGATTGTTTATAGAAAACGATCGCCTCTATCTCTCTCGTTTCAAGAGGTTCCAACGATGCCTATACTGTATATTTCTTCTATACTATATATTTTATTCCCATACATATATTTTCAGACATTATCTAGTGCTTCAATCAAGTCACATGCGCACATGCCTGTGTGTGGTGTGTGGTTAGAAATCAAATGTTGTTAATGACTTTACTCGGCATGCGACCATGCCTCCCACTAGGAATTTGCATTTAAAAATAGATATTATTGGTGAGAATATTCTTTGTGTAGAACCGGGGAATATTTACAAAGGGAATTTATATTTATTGTTCTGTTCCCGGATGGAGAAAGGTGTTTTTTAAATGGAAAATACCTTAGCTCGAAGTGAATAAATATATTTACAGATGTTTAGCGATTACAGAATTTAAAATGTAAACAAATTATGATGATTATTTATAGTTATTCATGACATTGAAATTAAATCAAGGTTTTTTGTATTACAATCAAAGTATAAATCATAACTTTAAATGGAAAATAAATTAAATTAAACATGTTGAAGCATACAAAAGGTGATTTACATAGGATTTTCCTGTGATAATATAACATGTAATGTTTTAAAAAACATTAATTTATAGTTAAATTAAATTTCTAATTAATATTTCTCCACTTTTATTGCGTTTTACGAAAAGGATTAGACCTCCAAGTGGTATTCTCTTTCTGACACTCTCAATGGGATTAAATGTCTCTAGTTTCCCCCAGGAAAATGTGTTTTTTTTTTTCCTAGACTCCGCCATTTAAGGCCATTAAGCGCCTGTGAGTGCAACTTGGCGATTGTTTTGCGTAGTTGAATAAGCGAATACATCTTGATTTATGCAAAGACACTGACTATTGTTGCCTCACACAGCCAACAACATAAAAGAAAGACACAAAATAAAATTAAAAACAAAATATGCGAAATAAAAACAAAAACAAAGGCGTGTATAGGTTGCGTGTGCGCTTTGGTATTTCCATTTATTAAATTTGTATGCATACCTCCTCTCCCGAAAAGCAAAGAGCAAAAGAGGAGGAGCGAAGGAAAAGATAAAGAGCAATAACCAAGCTGCACTTGAATACAATTTAGGTACCGAGAGTTCACTTCCATATAGAGGCGAAAATTCCCAAATAATTCCCGAGTGCGTGGGATAACAAAATAAGAAGAAACAGTCACTTGACACTCACTCTTTGTGATGCTGTTTCTCCTTCGTCCTTTCGTCATTTCACAATATATGAACGGTTTTCGTAGGAAAAGGAAACCAGCAATTTGCTTTAAAGGCTGACTAAATTGATTTTGAATTTTTTGTTTTTTTTGGGAGCCAACAAAGCGTGAAAAAGGTTCATGCAATAAATGTGTAACAAAGTGGAATGCAAAAACAGCAGGTTCCTCCTCTATTTCCCCCAATTAAAACCGAAAAGTGCAACGAAAGCGGGTGGGGAGAGAACAAAAAGAGGGAAGTGACAAAAACAGATCAAAAACAAAGCAACGTGCCAAGGCAGCAGTTGGATATTTGTTATTGTCGTGTGTTTTCTATGTAACAGAAAAATCACTTGGCACGGCCAGGTACGGTGGAGAGAAAGAGGAGGAAGATAGAGAGAGAGAGACAGGCGCTTTGCCAAATATTTGCACACACACACACACTCACCTGAATTTGCGGGTCCAGCTCGTCTTCTGCACTCGACATTTTCGCTGATTTTCACCAATCACAAATATGCAAAACTGTGCTAATTTTCACTTTTCTGTCGCCCGCTTTTCAATTGAAAACCACTTGCATTTCGTTCAATTAAATCTTGTTGTTTGCATACACACACACACGGGCTCTGCGTCGCGTCTATTTTCCAGTGTCCGTGTGTGCGCCTCAATTTAGTTGTGCTTTCTTCAATATTATGTAAATTTGTGTTTGTTGTTAACTAGCGATTTGTTAAACGGTTCCTTTTTTCTCGTTTCTTTTGCGTTTTACGTTTAATGTTTCACAATAAAATTGCATGGGTGCCAGGAATAGAGAACACGCGGCGACTGAGAACTAAATAAAAGGCATCAACAAACGAACGCTCGTTACATCTCTTCCGCTGCCACTGAATTTGCTTAATTTCGCTTACAAATGCTAAACTATCCTAAAAAAAAGACGCGTCCAACCGCGAGTGTGTTACCAGATTAACTAAATTTTTAATGTTACCAGATTAAAGTTAAAATTAAAATCCAAACAATACGCACAAGTTATGAGAAGGGTGGAAGACTTGGCTAAGCCAACCGAAGGTTTAAACCCCTTACGTTTTTGCACTACGTTTTTCCAGGGTTGTCGGGTATCTTGAAAAATATCGTATTTCTGATATTATATTTAATTAATAAAAAAAAAATTAATTTAACGTAGCATTTAAAAATATTTTTATATTTGATTTTTTTTATAACTTCGTTGAATAAAAATTTGTATTTTACTAATTAAAATAATTAAAGTCGGAGTTTAAAAATATAATAACATGGTCGAAAATCCACAAAATTCAATTCGGAAAGCTTTTCTGTGCTAGTTTTTAGTAGCTTAAAAATCTGCATACGGAATTTTAAATTTCAAGAAATTAAAATTTTTGCCAATTTTTGAGAATTTTAATGATGTAACCCCTTATAAAATTTTGAAAATTTTTTAAAATTTAAAATTTCTTTCTAACATGGCTAGAAAAATTTCCCTGTCAATGCTGATCAAGAATATATATACTTTATAGGGTCGGAAATGACTCCTTCACTTCGTTGCAAAGTTTTTACTAAAATAAAATACCCTCAAGGGTATATAAACTAAACATAAATATACAGGTAAAATACTACCTCCCTTTAAAAAAAACAATAATAAATCTCCCCACTTTTACTATGAAATTTTACTTTATTTGTTATTGGTTTTTTGTTGATTTTTGTTTTGTTTTGCCCTTTATGTGCTTTACATGTTTGTGATTTGATTTTGTATTTACTTTTCATTACGTTTGCTTTATATGCGTTTATAAATCGAATACTCCTCCAATTTCCTCTAATGATATGCGCACCAAACGAGTTTCATTTTTCAACCGAGCGCCATTACTAACAGAAAACTCAGACAAAAAAGATCAAAGAATACATTTTATACTAAATAAATTTGTATTTATTTTATGTAAATCATAGAGAAGGCAATGCAATGGGTATACCACGGAATTCTAATCGTTAAATCGTTTAAACGTAGGTTTCTAAAGATGGATTCGCTCCCCTCTCTGTTTGCTTAATTTAACGCTAATATAAGATTTATATTTTATATAATGCATCTTTTGTTGTTTACTTTGTATGGAATAACACTTAATTATACATTGATTTCATATATAGTTTGATTTCTTCAGTTGTATTCGTAATAAATAGAAAAGCTGATTCGTTTTGAAAAAAATTGAGAAAAATTCACACAGCATATATGAAAAAAAATGGAAAGATACAAATTATAGATAAATGCAATTTGAAATTGTCTGAAGGGGATCTTTAAGTAGTAGTTCTGTGCGTGATCTTCTTCAAACCACTAAATACTTGTCCATAAATGATTTCGTTTAAATATTTATTTATATATATATCGAATTATATTATATATATATATTTTATGCTATATAATAACTATATATATGCATCGCTTTACTCGGTTATTCTGCTTCGTTTTGTTAACATTCATATTCTTGCTTTGAGGGGTGAGAGGGAGAGAGTTTAGGAAAAGTACAAAAGTATACAATGGTTCGTCGAAAGCTTTTCTCGTTTAGTTTGTCCTTTAACTACTATCGAAATGATATGGAAATCGAAGAATACAAAAAATAAAATACAAGGCTGTCTCGCCTTCTTTCTAAGTATAAACAAATTCAGCTTAACTAAGTTTAAAGTACATAAAACATTTCCACACACCACAAGTTCTACAGCAAAATTCAGCTACACTACAATTTGTTGTTGTTGTTGATTGGAGAGTGGTTGTTGTTGGTTGGGGGAGTCTATTCACTGTCTATGTTGAGGCCCACACGCTTCTCCTCCTCGAGCATGGCGTCCAGTTCGTCTGTGAGATTGGCCAGCATATTCCCAATATCGTTCAGAACATTCACCGACACCTTGGGCGGCACCACAACAGCCGGAGCAGCAGCCGACTCCGGGGAAGTTGTTGCTGTTGCCAGCGGGTCTGCCGATCCGCCGGGATTGCTGAGGTCCAGCGTGGGGGAACGGAGATGCAGGGCACTGCCACCGCTGGCCGTGCTGCCCATGCTTTCGCTTCGCGCCAAGGTGGCATCGTGCAGCGAACTGGAAGATTTCAGCGAGTGGAACGAGTGCGCTATGTTGTTTGCAATGGTGTTCGTGGAGGAGGAGCTGGAGCTCGAGCTGGAGGAGTGCAGGTGTACGGGATGAACGGGATTGTTGGCATGCAGTTCCTGGCGATTGAGCAGACGCTGCTTGATCGTCCCGGTGTTCTCGTTGGCGAACGGTATCGTGTCAATCGAATCGATGCTGGAAGTTGACTTATTGTCATGGTACTTCTCGCAGTGTATCTCCGCCGTGGTCTGCTGAATGGTGGCATAGTTGGCATAGATCGGCTGCTGACTGCCAGCTGCTGCTGCCGCAGCCGCCTGCTGTTGCTGCCAGTGCTGCGCCGTGTGGCCATAGAACATGTGTGGCGGCTGGTTAGCCTGTTGCTGCTGTTGTTGTTGCTGCTGCTGCGCCTGCGTAACCGATCCTGGTGGCATTCCCTCGCCGCTCAGCGTGCGAGAGTTGCGTATGCTGCAGTGACGACGCGGTGGCTCAGGCGCTATCTTCTTGCCCGTCAACGGACTGCCGCTTAAGTAGTTCTGGAAACAATAATTGGTTATAAAAGATTTCACAGATTTAAAGTTATAGAAAGACTTACCGCTCCCGACTCTATGCCGCTGGCCGCTCCATACTCCGCCGCCGCTGCCGCATTCATGTAATGGTGATTCTCCAGCGGCGGCATCGTATTCAGCACTGCTCGCTGCAGAATGCCTCGCTGCTGGCGCGGCAATGTCCCGCCGCCCTCCTGCTCGTACAGCAGCTCCCTTGTAGCATCATTGGTGGGTGTTATGTCGCCATCATCGTAGGATCGCCGCCAGCCAATGGCTGGGGCATTGCTGCCCATTAGTCGGGCTGCTGCCGCCTGCTGTTGCTGCTGCAGCAGCTGTTGATGGTGATGCTGCTGCTGGAGCGTGGCGGCTGCCGCCATGGCTGCCGCAGCTGCTGCCGTTGTGGGTGGCCCAAAGTGGCCATAATCCGTGGTCGTGTAATGGCTAAAGGTCAAATGGCTGCGCGTGCTGTTGTCATGGATGTCCTCCAGCGATTCTAGGCTCTTGCCACGCGGCTGACGCACCTGTAGAGAAAATAACGAGGAAACACTTGTAATGAGTAATGTTTTTTAAAGTCCTGCCACTAATTTAGGAACTTTGAATTTATAAAAAAGAGAAAACACTAAACTTTTCTTGAAAATTAAAACAAAATTTAAATTTAAGCAAGTTTTTTGAATAAAACTCAGTGAAATTAAAGAAAAAATCCACGTATTTATAAGGCTTCAGTTGGAAAAGTCCCTCAATGGCTAGAATTTCAGCAGGCACTCGAGAGTTCAAGGTCAACAGGCTGCCACTGCTGAGCACTTGAGGCTCTTCAAGGACCAGGTGCTGCTGCCCACCTTAATGAGCACCACATCGTTGCCGGAGCAACACTCGTGATTGCTGCCCGTGCAGTAGTAGGCATCGCCGTTGATGAGGCTGCCGTTGAGGCAACTGCTGCCAGCTGGGGCCGTGGCATTCAGGACACTGTTGCCGTTGGCGGTTGCGTAGATCTTGGTATCGTCCCAGGAGACGCGAGTGGTTGGCACATAGGATGGCGTACTGGGTATGGGCACAATGAATTGCCAGGGCTTCCGCGGGTACTCCTGATTGTCCATAAACCAAGGAAATCATACAAATATAAAAGGGAAAAAAAGGAAACAAATTTAAATAAAGGGAAAATTATAAAATAATAAAAATAATTGTGAACTTAAGAACTCAATTATCAGATTTAAAAAAAAGGATTTTAAGTAACTCAACCCAAGTTAAACCCCTTTCTCACCTGCTGTTGGTAGGCATTGGCACCTCCAGGATTCCACTTTCCGCTGATGATATCCTTTACCCGTTTAATGGCCAGCAGAATTTTCTTTTGATGCCCCAGCTTGACGATGCCTATGTCCTCGAGATCCTCCCAAGTCACTTGGGTAACGTCGCGCACCGTTTTGTAGTTCTGTTCCAGCAGCGGCTGTATATACTCCTCCAGGCGCAGCAGCTGCAGCCATTCCTCAATAGAGCCCTGGAAGGGAACAAGGAGACAGAGATTAAGTATTGAGATGTTTATGGATTATTATATAGTCTCCCAGTGGAAAATCGGGCTAATCGCTTATGATTTAATGCAGCCCAGACTACAAATTGTCCATGAACTAGTTCAGACCCTGACGCTGATAAAGGGGGAAGCATTCATGGGATGGGAGTGGGTTACACACATGGCTGGTGTCTCTCACGATGAGCCTCTGCCTCGTCGTCGTCGTCGTTGTCGTTGCTGTTCCAGCTCTAATCAGTTGTAATTGATAAGATACGACATAAATCGCGTCAAAGCACAAGCATAAAGAAACGAATAAAAGCCAAAACTCGTTGCTGTCATCATTAAACGGTAGCGAGCGAGCGAGCTAGACTCGCAACCCGTAGATACATATGTACATACTATATGTATCCGAGACGATGCAGTCGAAAATCATCAACTTCCATAAAGTGTAAAGCCACTTTCTGATACTTTATGCCATGTGTACACGATGTGTTAATCACTTTTCTGTTGGCTCTGACTCGCCGCCGCTCTTTTGGCAGCTAAATTGCTGTTGATTTCAATTTAATTAAATGTCTTGTCTTCTGCGAAATGGGAAGTGATTGCTGGGAGAGTCTCCCGATTGGAAATTGTTCATTGAAAGCTCTCTTGATTGTGATTCGAGGGGAATGTCAAATGGGTTATATGTAAATTGTCAAGTGAATTAATGGAATTAAAATAGGGGAATTTAAAAATGAAGGGTTACAGAATGACTAAATTTATAAAAAGTATATATCGAAGAATCTTTATATAGATATATCTTATATTTTTACAT